CCGTAGAGAAAATCGAATAAATCCATTTTTGGACGACGAAACATTAAAAAAATTTCACAAATCCTTCTCTCGAAATCATGATTAATTTTTTATATTTCCAATTCTTTTATTAAACTCAAACAACCAGAAAAATATTTTTCCCTCATAAAGGATGATTTTTCAAGCTTAACTTTTTTTACTTGTTTGTTTCATTCTTCGTGTGCGGAATAAGAAAAAAAGAAACCTACAGTGTATAGTCTACTAAAGAGAATGATAAAAATTCCCGAATGTCTGATTTGCATATTTTATGCAATTGAAGCTCGAGAAGAACAAGCTTAGTTTCTTTTTATACATTCAAGACTTTTTAAAAAAAAAAAAAACTGTTCGCGTACTATTTCGTGTCGTAAATAAAAGTTGCGCAGGTCCAGACATTAAAATGTCCAGCTGAAAACAAATCACGAGCTTTTGTTAACAAATATATAAACTAGAAAAAAAATTTATTCAATGAAAATAATCAACTATTATATCAAATAAATATTTATTTGAAACAAATAATTTTTAATTAAATCAAATAAAATAATAATTATTTGTTAGAAATATTTATTTAGTGATAGTCAAATACACGATTTTTATTTGACTAAAAATTTTTTAGTTCATTTATCACACTCCATTGTTTAAATGAACGTTGAAACGACGCTGACGTATCATTCATTTAGAATAACTCAAGTTACAGAAAATCTCACAATCAGTAAATGTACATTTGAAATGTAGAAACTCAGAAATAGAAACTTTCAATCAACATGAGAGTGGTAAAAGCATTGAAAAATTCATACGACTACATGACGAACATTTTTTATTAAATCATCGTTAATGGAATAAAAGTATCTGGCAAATATATGTTATATAACTGTTATAAAACCTAAAGATAACACTCAATTAGAAAAAAATCACAAAATTATTAAATTAAATTATTAGTGTTTACAAAAATTTATATCTCTCCACTGTTGTAACATTTTTTAAATTTTATTTACTCCACTAAAAATAAGCATCTCTAAAACTGTTTTTAATTTGAAATTCCGAACAACGATACGTTATATATTTCCAACTTTAGAATTGGATCAATTTCCCCTTCCAAAATGTAGTATAGTTGAAAACGTTTTCACATCTCCATGGAGAGTTACAATACCGCAAAGCTGGCACATTATTAACTTGGATGTATATAGTGACGTGACTGGAGGGAATTCCTAGGAATTATATGATCAAACACCGATTATATAATACATATATTATTATGGTTGTGTAGTTGTGTAAAAAAGAGATGCGAATACACTTTTTCAAGAGATCAAGTCTGCGGCAACTGCACGAAAGTGGATATACAAAACCATCATGGAAAGAAAAATAATGGTTATGATATCCATAAAAATGTTGTTGATCATAATATTGTTGTATTATCCTTTTAAATAAAAGAGGCAACCTTTTCGTACAGAATTTAAAGTTTTAGAATTACATTTAAAGAAGAGTATAAGTCGTAACAAGTTATTCTTATTACGACCTCTTACGACTTATTTCGACACAACAACTTATATACTCGTTACGACCTTTTACGAATTATTACGACTCGCGACACATGTCAACCTTTTACGACTTATTACAATTTGTAACGACTTACGACTCATTTCGACCTTTACGATTTATGCCCTCTTAAAATTTATTACGACTTACGTATCGGATTTTAAATTTTGCAGCTAACCTTCAAATACCAAGCTAAGGATTCCCGCTAAAGAAATCCCATATTTTTCCAATATATATTTTCATTGTGATATGGGAACCATACCTTTTTTTTGCCCCCGTGTTGAATAATAATGTCAAACTAATTTTCTGATCTGGAATATATTGTCCCTACGATGCACTTTGAGTACTCTACTTTAATGCGAGTCGAATAATTCATTTATTCATCAAAGGGGGAGAGTATCAATAATAGCATTAGTTCTCCCCTGATAAACTCGAGAATCATACTTTCCATGAAACTTTCCTCTTACATAATCAACGAAACTTGAAAGATCTTTGAGGTATTTGAGAAATATCTTGCAGAATTATTGAAGAAACCCATTTTATCTATATAGTATAAAGGTAATTCTATATCCAAACTATGAATCAATACTTCCTGTTTTTTGATACCAATTTTAGATTTAATCCTTAAATTATCTAAAATAATTGTATTCATTACTCAAAAAAAAAACGTATTCTGAACTAATTTTAATAGAAAATTCTTATAACATACGAAACTTTCTTTTTCATTTGTGTGAAAACAATTTCTGAATATAGGTAGACTATTCATCTGTATATATATATGTATGAAAGTGATGGTGACGATTGCGTGATGACTTTTGTTACGTTTCCTGTATAGTACCACTAATGAGGAGCAAGCTAGGATTAGCCAGCTTATTCGTGGTATTATCGACTCGAATGTCACTCTGACTCTTGCAATTGCGATGCAATGTAGAGAAATGATAGAAGAGAGAAATATAGTTTTAGCAAAACTTTTATAAAAGTTTTTTATTTTTCTGTGTGAAAAAAATGACAATAATTTTACCAATAAAATATGCTTCCTTTCCGTTTTTTTTTTTTTTATTTTTATCTCATAAATTCTACTGCCATATAATCAAGTATGTAGAATATCGTTAGGTCAGAGTTGCGGCACACTAATGAGGAACAAGGAGAGATATCATCAAACTATATAGGTACAACGCGGTTATATAGCGCAAGTCAAGTCAGTTTGCTCTTCACTTGTACGAAGGATTAATCGTCATCAAACGTCCACCAATCTCAAAGTTTCACGCTAATTAAATGCAGAAACGTAATTAACGTTTATTAATTATCCTCGCGGCTCTTCAAGTCCGTCAATTTCTGGTTTTGATGTTCTCTATTCAAATACAGTTTCCAAGAAGCTTATACTTTTCTTTTTTTTTTAATTCAGTATATTTTAATTTAAATATTTAGAGACAGATTTTCCATATTTTAGTCCCTATGTGCTTTTCATTTTTGATTCACTAAATCTATCTATCTTTTCTTTCTGTTTATCCAAAATCAGAGTTAAACTCGTTTATAATACTATTTTGCAAAAATTTAAAGCCCGAGGTATCCACACTTATGCAGCGAATCCTTCACATTATTCAAAAAAAATTTCTTGCTTTTCACAGCACTATATCGTTTTGAGAGCATCTGAGATTTATAAATGAAGCATCATTGTTCGACCATATAATACAGCGCAAGGATGTAGATAAGTGTCCCCTAAGAAAAAGTGTCTTGGAAGTAACAAATAACCAAGGTCAGGGTTTGCCTTCCGACCTAAAACGTGTCCCCATTTTCGTTCATATAATAACTTCAGGGCATGACTCACGGGAACTCTTTTATACTTTGGATTTATTATCTCAAGTTGCTATACTACCGAAAACCATTTTTCTCTTTTTTATTTCATGCTCGTGACAGGAAAAATGAACTTGTAACCTATCAAAAATATTTCCGCTAAATCACTTTCAAATGAAAATTTAGAACGCAAAATTTAGCCTATTTAATTATTTTTAGCTTTAATAGCTAATAATATTAGCCACATATTAGCTAAAAATCAAACAATCTAATACTGAATTAGTTGACGAAGCTAAATATTTTTCTTTCCCTCATCCATATTGATGAAAAATATTATTTTTTGCTGGTCTCTTTTTTTGCCTCTCACCTACAAAATTAGGTCAACTCAAGGTGTCATATATAGCTTCGCAAAGCACCTCAGAGGGGTAATGTTATTTAATATATTTATAAACGTCTCCTGTGAGGACAAAGATTCACACCTTTTGTATAATTCAACGAGGTGCATCCAACGGCGACGACGACGACGACAGCTTTTGAATATTGGAAGGCGGGTGAGGTAAAAATGAATGTATTTCCCACATGAAACTTAGACCATTTTCTAGTAAACTCCTGCCTTTCAACGACAGAGGAATAATAATATAACCCCCTGAGACCTGTCTCGAGAGATGAAAGAACCACGTTTCTCTTTTCCAAGAGCGTAAACTTGATTTGCTTCGAATATAACAAGTCAAAATCGAAACCACGGAAATCTGTCTCATATCTCCTTTTTTTTATTACCCTTTCAATTCTTTTTCAATAATTATCAAATTGCATTTCTAAAATGCTTTCTCTAATTGCGAAAATAATTATAACCATGAAAGTTTAACTAACGTGCAATAATAATTATTACAATTTATAAGGAACTGCTACAATCAAAAAAGAAATAAAATTACATAGAACTTAAATGACTGAGGAACAAATTATTATACAAATGTTTAAGTGTATGAAGCGCGATTCAAGGCTATGAGCATATAAACAACCTAACGATGAACATAAAAAGAAGATTATCCTCTAATACGGTTTATGTGAGGGAAAATGCATTCAGTAACTATATATATATATTGTTGAGTTTACAGACCTACACAATATATAGGTGCTTACATACACCGTTTCATTTTGTTGACAAACATAAGAATATAGAACGCCTCAGAAGCGGAGCTTGTTTGATGCATTATAGGAAGCTCAGACCAAATTTAATAACAAATTTTAATGGAAAAGTTGTGTTGATCAAAACAAATTTTCTCGATTGTGTGCTTTACATTATACACTTCTTATTCATACTATATTTCACAGACTATAATTTCAAAAGAATTACAATTACAATAGAGAAAAACATGCCTTTTTAATTCTCAAAAGTAAATCACTTCATGAATTTGAAATTACCAATTTTCAAAAAATATTTAGGACCGAATCAGTCTAATGATACATTCATTGAAAAGAAAGATTAATTTGCGAAAAGGTAAAAGCTTTTCAGTACTTTAAAAGCACCTTTTTAAGTTTCTTTGAATAAAAAATTCGTTTGAATTACTTCAAAATTTCATTTTAAGTATACATAAATATATATATTTAATTCAGTGCAGTCACAATATTGTTTAAACAAAGAATAAAGCACTCACCGATTGCGGATTCCCTCGACGAAACGATGGTTGCATTGCCTCTTTTGGAACGCAACCCTCAGAAATCCCTCCTTTTTCTGCATCCTCGTCTGCATCAAAGAATTACTATATGCTAAGGGCCACTTTTACTCTTACTCTTACTTTTTACCTCCTACATTTTGAAAAATAAAAAAAAATATTTATACATTTTTTATAAAAATATTTTTCGAACTCGAACGGTTTAAAAACACACGACCACGAACACTCCCGATAAAATTAATTGCAAAAAAAAGGTTTTTATAAAAATATTTTTCGAATTTTTTAACCAGTTTTAAAAATATGCGACTTTTCTGTAACAAAGAAAAAATACTGTTAAAATTCGTTATTCTATTTCTTTCATGCTTTTATACATTCCTATAATTAACAATATACGATAAATAGAGTATAATAAATACATATTTCTAGATTAAGAATATACTAAATTACATATTCCTGAAAAAATAAATGATTATTAATATAAAAAAGAAATATTATTTCTCACCACGATGATTCAACTGAAAATAATTATTAATTAAACAAAACAATCACAAAACATTTAGAAAACAATCACAAAACACTTACAAACATTCACAAAATATTAAAATGTTATACAACATAGTGACCAAATAAATAAAAGATAAAGTAAATTTTCACTGGTACTCCAGTTACTTGTTTTTTACTTACATTTTTCACCCGATTTCCCTACCTATTGCTATATTTAAAACGAACATAAATGCCTATTTTTCCCGAATTTTCTACCTACATTTATATTCTAAACGAAACTAATACCGCCCAGGTGCAAAATGACCTACACTAGGGTTAACGTCCCGGGACGTTACCGTCACCTGAGCGATCTTTTCTGAAAAGAAAACATTTAATTAGTCCATAATTGAAAAAATGATCAAAAACTTTTAATTTTTAATTCCACATGCATTAATATTTAACTTTTGAAAATAAAATTTACTATTCAAAATTGAAAAATTGTGAACAAAATTAATTAATCAAATTATTTAAAGTTAATAACATTTTATAAATTTAGTTTAAATTACTTTTTTTTATAGAAAGAAAATTACTTTGACTCGTTAAGAAAAATTACAAAACATTAAAAATATCAAACACACAATAAATAACATACATATTATATAAACAATGAAAAGGAACATTGACAATAGTATTAATTTACGTAGTATTAAGGTAGTAATCCACAAAACATGTAATATTTTAGGATGTCAGGAGTGTTAGAAATTTTGAGGGGCTAAATTTCCAAAAATATCATATGCTTTTTTAGATTACCCCTAAAAATTACCAGAAAGTAATAATTTTGTCAATGGTGTCACTATGTTGTTTTTTTCCTTCCCTGTTTTTTTTTAATTTTAATATATTATTTGAATCAACATAACAACTTTTTTTAAAAGTCAAAAAAATTCAAAAATTTATTGATTAAAAATATTTTTAAAAAAATTAATTTTCAATTTATAAATCTATTTTAATTAAAATAATAAAAAATAACTGTTTTAAACAGGGAAGGGGTTAAATAAAAAACGACTCACCGATCGGCGAATCCCACGTCGGGGCAAAAGTTATATCGCCACTTCTCGAACACTTCAGGCCTGCTCCCGAGGATCCCTCTTTCTTGCGCGCACTTCTGCGCGAGGCCGGGAGCGTTAAAAAAATCTTATAAAAAAAAAAAAATAAAAAAGAAAACAAAAAATTTTATTAAAAAAAAGTATGCAGGGGCCACTTTTCTTCTACCACATCCTTCCTGTCCTTCAAGTTGTTTATTGGGCATTGACTGAAAAACACTGAAACAATAAAAATTAATTAAAACTTAAATAATCTACAACTATATTCTAAAATCCTAATAAATATTGACAATATCCTACAATATTTACATTATTGTAATAATGTTTAAAATTAATCAACTTACCTATTGCCAATTTTTTTCGTCGTTTTAAAGATATGATGACACCATACTCTCTCTATCTCTTTCAATAGATGAAAGTTTCTTCCCTGGAATAGACTGAAAATAAAAAAAAACATATCATATGTAAAATAAAGAATTCCTAATTTGATTGTACAGTTAATTATTACAATTGATCACAAAATTATTTATTTAAAATAATAAATAAAATCAATCAAATAATTTTGTTGATTTTTATCACAATTAATAAGTATTTCTAAAAAGATTTTAAAGTATTGAAACCTATTTTTTACTAGCACTACATATTATTTAAAAAAGGATATTTTCAATAATATCTATTCATTATCATTATTTCTAATTTTTTAAATTTTACTTTGTTCAAAATTAACCAATGAAAAAGAACACTTACAATTTGGGATTTTTCGCGACGTGTTAAAGGTACGATGACTGCTAAATCTCCCTGCTACTGGAGTGACTGTCTGAAAAAATAATCCATTATATTATAATTATTGAACAATAAACTCAAAAAAAAATCATGAATATTGTCAATTATTAGATTATTCTAATAATTATTATTATACTTTTAAATATGTCAATATTTATAAATATTTACATTTGATATTGTACTAAACATCATTTACAAATAATAAAATAAATTTTAATCAAATATAATTTTATTTCTAAATATTTAAACAAATTAATTTTGTTAACAGCATACATAGTTACCTCAAAATATACATAAATTAGGAGAAAAAAATTAACAACTTACATTGAACTGCGACTCAGCAATGCCAGATCTCCTCCAGGAGCAGCTCCGCAACAAACACCCATCCTGCATAAATGAACACCTAGAAATTGGGAAAAAACTATTTCACACAAAAATTTAAATAGAAAATTAAAAAAAAATTATTGTATTTGCCAATATAAAATTAATAAGAATATTAAAAAATTAATAACAATAAAGTACAAGGCATTTCTCCATAGTCATTTAGAGATTGCCTTAAGGGTGGTAATAAGGATCTTCCTCTACTCATATCGGGCTGTCAATTTTTTTCCACACTTTTAGGTGTATTTTGTGCAAGAAATTGCAATAAAATAGTCTGCCTAAGAAAAATTGAAATTTTTTGAAAATTTTTTTTTGACGAAAATCGCTTAAATGGTCATAAAATTGGTGTTCCTCTACTCGGATCGGGCTGTCAATTTTTTTCTACACTTTTAGGTGTATTTTGTGCAAGAAATTGCAATAAAATAGTCTGCCTAAGAAAAATTGAAATTTTTTGAAAATTTCTTTTTGACGAAAATCGCTCAAATGGTCATAAAATTGGTGTTCCTCTACTCGGATCGGGCTGTCAATTTTTTTCTACACTTTAAGGTGTATTTTGTGCAAGAAATTGCAATAAAATAGTCTGCCTAAGAAAAATTGAAATTTTTTGAAAATTTTTTTTTGACGAAAATCGCTTAAATGGTCATAAAATTGGTGTTCCTCTACTCATATCGGGCTGTCAATTTTTTTCCACACTTTTAGGTGTATTTTGTGCAAGAAATTGCAATAAAATAGTCTGCCTAAGAAAAATTGAAATTTTTTGAAAATTTTTTTTTGACGAAAATCGCTTAAATGGTCATAAAATTGGTGTTCCTCTACTCGGATCGGGCTGTCAATTTTTTTCTACACTTTTAGGTGTATTTTGTGCAAGAAATTGCAATAAAATAGTCTGCCTAAGAAAAATTGAAATTTTTTGAAAATTTCTTTTTGACGAAAATCGCTTAAATGGTCATAAAATTGGTGTTCCTCTACTCGGATCGGGCTGTCAATTTTTTTCTACACTTTAAGGTGTATTTTGTGCAAGAAATTGCAATAAAATAGTCTGCCTAAGAAAAATTGAAATTTTTTGAAAATTTTTTTTTGACGAAAATCGCTTAAATGGTCATAAAATTGGTGTTCCTCTACTCATATCGGGCTGTCAATTTTTTTCCACACTTTTAGGTGTATTTTGTGCAAGAAATTGCAATAAAATAGTCTGCCTAAGAAAAATTGAAATTTTTTGAAAATTTTTTTTTGACGAAAATCGCTTAAATGGTCATAAAATTGGTGTTCCTCTACTCGGATCGGGCTGTCAGTTTTTTTCTACACTTTTAGGTGTATTTTGAGCAAGAAATTGCAATAAAATAGTCTGCCTAAGAAAAATTGAAATTTTTTGAAAATTTTTTTTTGACGAAAATCGCTTAAATGGTCATAAAATTGGTGTTCCTCTACTCAGATCGGGATGTCAATTTTTTTCTACACTTTTAGGTGTATTTTGTGCAAGAAATTGCAATAAAATAGTCTGCCTAAGAAAAATTGAAATCTTTTGAAAATTTTTTTTTGACGAAAATCGTTTAAATGGTCATAAAATTGGTGTTCCTCTACTCGGATCGGGCTGTCAGTTTTTTTCTACACTTTTAGGTGTATTTTGTGCAAGAAATTGCAATAAAATAGTCTGCCTAAGAAAAATTGAAATCTTTTGAAAATTTTTTTTTGACGAAAATCGCTTAAATGGTCATAAAATTGGTGTTCCTCTACTCGGATCGGGCTGTCAATTTTTTTCTACACTTTTAGGTGTATTTTGTGCAAGAAATTGCAATAAAATAGTCTGCCTAAGAAAAATTGAAATTTTTTGAAAATTTTTTTTTGACGAATATCGCTTAAATGGTCATAAAATTAGTGTTCCTCTACTCGGATCAGGCTGTCAATTTTCTTCTACACTTTTAGGTGTATTTTGTGCAAGAAATTGCAATAAAATAGTCTGCCTAAGAAAAATTGAAATCTTTTGAAAATTTTTTTTTGACGAAAATCGCTTAAATGGTCATAAAATTGGTGTTCCTCTACTCGAATCGGGCTGTCAGTTTTTTTCTACACTTTTAGGTGTATTTTGAGCAAGAAATTGCAATAAAATAGTCTGCCTAAGAAAAATTGAAATTTTTTGAAAATTTTTTTTTGACGAAAATCGCTTAAATGGTCATAAAATTGGTGTTCCTCTACTCGGATCGGGCTGTCAATTTTTTTCTACACTTTTAGGTGTATTTTGTGCAAGAAATTGCAATAAAATAGTCTGCCTAAGAAAAATTGAAATTTTTTGAAAATTTTTTTTTGACGAAAATCGCTTAAATGGTCATAAAATTAGTGTTCCTCTACTCGGATCGGGCTGTCAATTTTTTTCTACACTTTTAGGTGTATTTTGTGCAAGAAATTGCAATAAAATAGTCTGCCTAAGAAAAATTGAAATTTTTTGAAAATTTTTTTTGACGAAAATCGCTTAAATGGTCATAAAATTGGTATTCCTCTACTCAGATCGGGCTGTCAATTTTTTTCTACACTTTTAGGTGTATTTTGTGCAAGAAATTGCAATAAAATAGTCTGCCTAAGAAAAATTGAAATTTTTTGAAAATTTTTTTTTGACGAAAATCGCTTAAATGGTCATAAAATTGGTGTTCCTCTACTCGGATCGGGCTGTCAATTTTTTTCTACACTTTTAGGTGTATTTTGTGCAAGAAATTGCAATAAAATAGTCTGCCTAAGAAAAATTGAAATTTTTTGAAAATTTTTTTTTGACGAAAATCGCTTAAATGGTCATAAAATTGGTGTTCCTCTACTCGGATCGGGCTGTCAATTTTTTTCTACACTTTTAGGTGTATTTTGTGCAAGAAATTGCAATAAAATAGTCTGCCTAAGAAAAATTGAAATTTTTTGAAAATTTTTTTTGACGAAAATCGCTTAAATGGTCATAAAATTGGTGTTCCTCTACTCGGATCGGGCTGTCAATTTTTTTCTACACTTTTAGGTGTATTTTGTGCAAGAAATTGCAATAAAATAGTCAGCCTAAGAAAAATTGAAATTTTTTGAAATTTTTTTTTTGACGAAAATCGCTTAAATGGTCATAAAATTGGTGTTCCTCTACTCGGATCGGGCTGTCAATTTTTTTCTACACTTTTAGGTGTATTTTGTGCAAGAAATTGCAATAAAATAGTCTGCCTAAGAAAAGTTGAAATTTTTTGAAAATTTTTTTTTGACGAAAATCGCTTAAATGGTCATAAAATTGCTGTTCCTCTACTGGGATCGGGCTGTCAATTTTTTTCTACACTTTTAGGTGTATTTTGTGCAAGAAATTGCAATGAAATAGTCTGCCTAAGAAAAATTGAAATTTTTTGAAAATTTTTTTTTGACGAAAATCGCTTAAATGGTCATAAAATTGGTGTTCCTCTACTCGGATCGGGCTGTCAATTTTTTTCTACACTTTTAGGTGTATTTTGTGCAAGAAATTGCAATAAAATAGTCTGCCTAAAAAAAATTGAAATTTTTTGAAAATTTTTTTTTGACGAAAATCGCTTAAATGGTCATAAAATTGGTGTTCCTCTACTCGGATCGGGCTGTCAATTTTTTTCTACACTTTTAGGTGTATTTTGTTCAAGAAATTGCAATAAAATAGTCTGCCTAAGAAAAATTGAAATTTTTTGAAAATTTTTTTTTGACGAAAATCGCTTAAATGATCATAAAATTGGTGTTCCTCTACTCGGATCGGGCTGTCAATTTTTTTCTACACTTTTAGGTGTATTTTGTGCAAGAAATTGCAATAAAATAGTCTGCCTAAAAAAAATTGAAATTTTTTGAAAATTTTTTTTTACGAAAATCGCTTAAATGGTCATAAAATTGGTGTTCCTCTACTCGGATCGGGCTGTCAATTTTTTTCTACACTTTTAGGTGTATTTTGTGCAAGAAATTGCAATAAAATAGTCTGCCTAAGAAAAATTGAAATTTTTTGAAAATTTTTTTTTGACGAAAATCGCTTAAATGGTCATAAAATTGGTGTTCCTCTACTCGGATCGGGCTGTCAATTTTTTTCTACACTTTTAGGTGTATTTTGTGCAAGAAATTGCAATAAAATAGTCTGCCTAAGAAAAATTGAAATTTTTTGAAAATTTTTTTTTGACGAAAATCGCTTAAATGGTCATAAAATTGGTGTTCCTCTACTCGGATCGGGCTGTCAATTTTTTTCTACACTTTTAGGTGTATTTTGTGCAAGAAATTGCAATAAAATAGTCTGCCTAAAAAAAATTGAAATTTTTTGAAAATTTTTTTTTTACGAAAATCGCTTAAATGGTCATAAAATTGGTGTTCCTCTACTCGGATCGGGCTGTCAATTTTTTTCTACACTTTTAGGTGTATTTTGTGCAAGAAATTGCAATGAAATAGTCTGCCTAAGAAAAATTGAAATTTTTTGAAAATTTTTTTTTGACGAAAATCGCTTAAATGGTCATAAAATTGGTGTTCCTCTACTCGGATCGGGCTGTCAATTTTTTTCTACACTTTTAGGTGTATTTTGTGCAAGAAATTGCAATAAAATAGTCTGCCTAAGAAAAATTGAAATTTTTTGAAAATTTTTTTTTGACGAAAATCGCTTAAATGGTCATAAAATTGGTGTTCCTCTACTCGGATCGGGCTGTCAATTTTTTTCTACACTTTTAGGTGTATTTTGTGCAAGAAATTGCAATAAAATAGTCTGCCTAAGAAAAATTGAAATTTTTTGAAAATTTTTTTTTGACGAAAATCGCTTAAATGGTCATAAAATTGGTGTTCCTCTACTCGGATCGGGCTGTCAATTTTTTTCTACACTTTTAGGTGTATTTTGTGCAAGAAATTGCAATAAAATAGTCTGCCTAAGAAAAATTGAAATTTTTTGAAAATTTTTTTTTGACGAAAATCGCTTAAATGGTCATAAAATTGGTGTTCCTCTACTCGGATCGGGCTGTCAATTTTTTTCTACACTTTTAGGTGTATTTTGTGCAAGAAATTGCAATAAAATAGTCTGCCTAAGAAAAATTGAAATTTTTTGAAAATTTTTTTTTGACGAAAATCGCTTAAATGGTCATAAAATTGGTGTTCCTCTACTCGGATCGGGCTGTCAATTTTTTTCTACACTTTTAGGTGTATTTTGTGCAAGAAATTGCAATAAAATAGTCTGCCTAAGAAAAATTGAAATTTTTTGAAAATTTTTTTTTGACGAAAATCGCTTAAATGGTCATAAAATTGGTGTTCCTCTACTCGGATCGGGCTGTCAATTTTTTTCTACACTTTTAGGTGTATTTTGTGCAAGAAATTGCAAT